AGTGGTCACAATGACACACTCTTTGCTACAGGTTGGCGTGGTGAATTTGACTTGGAATGCCAAGAAGCCTGCTCAAAAGTGGTGGATTATTCAGATCAATTCTCAATAAAATAGTATGCTTGTAGTAAAAGCACTTCTGGACAAAAGCAAATGTCACGTTAGCTGAACTAAACCAACCATTATGGTATCTATCATGTGACAATTGCAATAATTGTGCAAGTGCAGCTGTTAATGAAACTTATTTCTGTAGATTTTGAAAGCACGGTTACGCTACACCAAGTCCAAGGTAAGATTATAATCATGTCACAAATATATCATCTATATGAGTAAATGCATTATTTATTATCTAATGATTATCAAATACACCCGAAAACACTAAGAATGATTCCACTTCCATCCTATTATAGCAAGAGCAGTTGTTCAATTACAAGACTCCACATGCTCAATCACAACATCAGTTATTGAAAATCTAGATGAAACATTCCTCAAATGCCCAGCAGCAACAAAACTCATGAAACAAAGCTCTGAGGTACCCATCTCAAAATTACATTTTCCTACCTATATTTCACCCTAGTATATGTACTACTAACTACTTTTAATAAACGTCCAAACAGGAACATATGGAGAGTAGCTCTAAAATTCAAAAAACTACTACAGATCAGCACATCTTATACATCAAAACTGTAAATACAGAAACAACCACCACCAAGGCACCATACGAAGTTATCTTCATCCTCGACTCACACCTCCAAGATGAACACTATTTACCTACAAAAGTCATACATCCAGGCACTTCACAAACAACTCTTCAACTGACAAGTGCAAAAACCATACCAACAAATAGCCCCACAGCCTAGACAATGTTTATACATGAAGCTCACAAACATGCTGACAAAAAACAAAAGCAAGAGTAGTTGTTCAAGACTTGAAAATAGTTGTTTTGTATCTCTTTTGCATGTTTCTCTATATAGTCCACCAACCTTGATTCCTAACATCTCTATTTTCCATACTACATTTTGTCCATTTTACATATTAACATGTTAGAGTATATGTAGAAGCCATGTGTATGGCATGTAAAAGCTCTGTGTATATCATATCAACTTTTTGCCTCATATTACTTCCACCAGTGCAAGTACTTATAGACGGATATTTTATGTAATCCAATGTAATCATCCTTCTAACAAGCTTTGATTTCCCATTGAAATACCACGTAAATAAGTTCTCACATTATTTCTTACACTGCATCACCTACTACACGTGCAACGTACGTTCACTCACTAGTTTATATGAGAAGAATCGGTGATTGTTAACTATTACTTATAGTAATATTATTTAGAATTTTAATGCTCATGATTAAGTCCTTCACAAAAACAGAAACTTTGATTGAATTACGAGACCTACTAGTTCTATTTCCAGTGAAAACAAAATAGCAAAAAGCAAGTCTGAATGTCAATTATTGCATTACATTGTGAATATTATGTCCTTGATCTTTGAAAAACAACTTAGCTAAGTATATAAATTAGCTGACTGGTCTATAATGAAGTGCTCAATTTAGAATCTTGCCATGTCCACAAACAAAGTACTCCTCTCGTTTTTCTACGCCCAACAACATATCGGACTTCACATTGGGTCAACATATAAAAGGGAAAATTATGTTTAACAGTATAACAGTCCAACTTCTCACATTTCCCAGTGCTAAATAATTGTATCAATCATTTTTCATTTCCTTACAAAATATTCATATCATTCTGTAGTTGAAATCATCATGGTTGCCATGACTTATCTTGATTCTATATATGAAAACAATTGTATGTAGTATTTTGGGTTTTTTTTTTATACCCAATAAATTCCGACAATGATGTTAAACAACTTTTGGATTATATTTCATACGTCTCGGCCGATGAGTGAGATAACTATCAACACAATCAATTTATAGGCTCAACTCGAAAAAACTCGAGTCATTGGAAGCAACTTAATTAGTTAATGTTGTTCATGACCACTATAACTCTTGGTTGGTCTTTTTAATGTGCTGGCTCATTACTATGTTTCTTGGCCCAATTGATGACACAACCTAACCTATATATATGCCCATTTTGTAGTGTGGAAACGTGTGTGGTTTGTGAATGTGTGGAAAAGAGAACATGTGGCTGCTTTCTTCTCCTCCATAGTGCCTTACCTTTTCTATGCCTTTGTGACCCCTTTTTGTAAACACCATTATCTTGTGTTCCTTCTGGGTATATTAGAAGTGGCAACCAAAGAGTAATAGTAGTAGTTGTAGGTTGGAGAAATTGGTTGATTGTGTTTGATATTGGTAAGTTAAACTGAGCCCGGATTCCACCAAATCGAAGGCCCTTGCGCTGCAGTAGTGTTTTTTGGTTAACAAGTGGAGTGTAGATGGGAATCATCATGAGGAGTTTAATCCCAATTATTCGTTCCAACAAAGGCATTGTAAAAGTCAAGGAAGAATCATGCGAACGTGTAGGAAGAAACAGCCTTCATTGGTTAATAATTTAGTGATTAGCTACCTACAAGTAAGCTGAAAATTAAAAATATCAAAAGAAAAGAGGGTGAAAAGAAAGTCATGTAGAAGAAGCAAAAAATTATATTCATATTTATCTATGCGAGCTTAGAAGCAATGACAAAAGTAAAATTGCTGCACTTGTATACTAAGCCTTGGACACTTAACTTTGGGCTCGAATTTCTTATTAGGGTTATTATCCTAGGTAGAGTTTGGAGTTTGAAACATTAAAATTTAGGAAGAATCTAGGTAATATGACTTTCGTTGGTTAAATCCAACTGAACTTGAGCGAGAGAGGAATGAGTGATGAGAATTCAACCTCTGAAATAAACACTTAGAGAGTGAGAATAAAAACAAGTTTGGGGTGCATATTTTATGAGAGAATTAAGGGAACATTTGACCATTAACGGTCAAGAAATTGTGCTTAAATCAACTATTCACACATATCAATCCAATATTGGACAAGTGATGAATTAATCTCAATAGCATATCGTGGAAAATGTTTGTGAATTGTTCAAGTAATTTCAAAATGTGAAGCAAAATGTTGGCTATCTAACTTTGTTATTTGTATTTTGTCTATGTACATTAAGTAGCCAAATTTGTTCATGATGAAACAATGTTTAAGTTTTAAGGTATTTGATAGATGTGGTTTTTACTCATATTAGGGCCGTCAAAAATGAATATTCGAGAGTCAAATTGATGAAATTATTACAGAATTTGCTCAAATATAGATTGATTTAGGATAAACTCGAGTTTGACTTTTAATGAAAAGAAGTGGTAATCAGCCAAAGAGGTGCGAGAAAATAAGAATTATAACGTTTGGGGACTAAATTGTAAATCCTTGAAAGTTGATTCTGAACTAAAATTGATAATTGAAGATTATATAGAGATGAAATTAAAAGATGAATAACCAAAATTACACAATGAAAAGGACTTAAACTGGATGGAGGAAGAAATCTTGATTCCAAAATGAAGATGAACAGAGAGTTGAGGACGCCACTTTTTAAGGGTGTGCGATCTACGCCATTACAATGGTGCAGTCACATGGTTACTTTCGACGAGAAAATTTGCTTTCCTTCTTTTAATCAATACTCTTTGAAAAGGAATTCTACCACATTTATAACCTAATTTGGAGGCACAATTTCATTTCACTAAGCTTAGGAGAGAAAACAAGAGGCAAGAAACAAGAAATTCAACATTCTAATTTGCAAAATGAAGATCAATTCTTGGATTTTGGGCAAATGAGAAGGAGGTGTAACAAGAAATTGTTTAAGGAAGATTTTCGTGGATTTTTCTCCTCTTCGTAAATCTTTAATGTGGGTGATGTTTCATATTTCAATAATGAGCTTTCGTAATTTTCTAATGTTCAACCAAACTTTTAGTCACATGATCCCCATGCCCTCCTCCCCGTCCACCGCAGCTAGGACATAGATGGACCCTTTATTATGAAGTTTTAATATAATCTTCAAGACTTTGGTGTTTGATGTTTGATTGGTTTTGATAATTGTTATAGATATTAATGGTTTACAATTAGTTAGTTATAAATTGGATGGTTTTGTCATTGTTATTTCATTCGAGAGAATTATTATATGAATATAGAGACATACGTTACATAATTTAAATTGAATGTTCTTGTGCTTGAAGGTCACGTGTGAGAATATATATAATTCTATTCGAGAGAGATTATTAAACAAAATAAGGACATTGATTAACAAGAATAAACAAGCATTTTCACGATCTTGAGTTCTTTTAAAATGGATTAATAAAGGAGGATTTGAAGTCTTATTTCGTAAATTCAATCAATTGTACAAACGCTTCTTAATTGCTCACTAGATTAGTTTAGATAATTAATATAACATCAATCAATAAAAAATTTGACTATTCGATTAGAGTTTGTAATAATTAGTACTAGATTAATTACATAGTCTTCGAGCAAATATTTTATTCACTACTCTATTACTTATTTGCACTCCCGTCCACTTCCGAAATTTCCTCGATCAACATCATATCAGGTTAGATCATTTATTCGAGAACCTGCATGGATGTTAAAACTGCAACTTTGCTAATAGATTGAGTTCAGATTGTTTTTTTCAATTTCACAAGTAATTGTATCCTATTTTTCTCGCTGCCATTCATCTTTTTCTTTAGTGGCTTTTGGTTTCACGGAACAGTTTGATTTTATATTTGTAAGCAGAGAATTTCTGTACCCTCTAAAACATTTACCATTCTTTTTTATATTGTCTTAATATTTTATGTTTCTTTATTATGGGGTTATACGATGTAACACTTGAGCAGATTAAGAATTATGGCTCCATAAGCAGAAGTAAAATAAAGTAAATCTTCTTACATTGATAATTTATTCAAACAGGAGTACTTATTAAGCATTTCTGTGTTACAATACATCAAATTCAGAGAAAAATGAAAATCCAACATTTCTAGGAAACGTAATATTTTTGGCGAAGTGTAAATTTCAGCAACATGTTTAATTATAGGCATCAGGATTGGCTTGGAGATAAGCCTCGACAGCCTTGAAAATTCCCACGGCCTTTTCTTTACCTTCCTTGATTTTCTCCTCGGAAATCTTGGCATCACCCTTGGTGTTGTAAATGCTCCTGCTCTTGCAGATAGATCCTCCATCAGCAGTCGGAACAATTTTGATATGGTAAGTGATCGACTCCAGAACGTCCATCAGAGCATCCCCTTCAATGATGCTGTAGCTATATGTCAAGTTTTCATTGTCGACATTGTCAACACGGTGCTTGACGCTCTTAAACTGGCTGCCTTCCCCAAAAGTGATAACCTTGATGGTTCCGACTCCACCATCTCCCTCAAGGATTTCGACGCTTTTGATAGCTTGAGGCAGGATCTTGGGGATGAGGTTGTCAGAGTCAAGGATAAAGGCCTTGAACAACTTCCCGGCTGGGATTGATGAAGTGATCTCCATATCATAAGTAATGGCACCCATGATGATTTCAAGTACGGAATAATATGAAAAAAGATTGATAAAATTGTTTGGTGGTGAGAAATGTAGGAAGTTGGATTGCTATTTATATTGTTAAATAGAACGTTCTCTTCCATATGAATTATTGACCCAAATGTGAAGTCATAAATGTGGTTGGGACACAACGAAATTTGAAGATTAACAAGTGTGTGGACATGGCCTGATTATTAAACATCGAGCACTCCATTGTAGACCAGTTAGCTTAATCTCTGTACTTGTTTTTCAAACTTGTAGGACCTAATATTTGCAGTGTAATGTTATAGAAAGTACAACGTAGACTTGCTATTTGACTTGTATTGCATGCAGAATTGCTACAAGTTACCGTTTACTTTTTATTAATAATAAAATTAGTGAAGGATTTATCGCACGTCTTCAACAATGAAATTTCTGGAAAACGAACTTACAATAACAGGAAGTTTTCTAGTCAATTACCGATTCGTCCCCTATAAATACAAAGATCACTTGCATGTCGTTTGGTCTTGCAAGTTATCGAGGCCCTACAGCTTTTATGCTATGTGGGTGGTGGGGAGGGGGGGGGGGGGTGTGAAAGTGAAAGTGCAAGTTGAAGTAGCGGTGGAAAATCTAGAATAGGAAGACTTTTCTAAGATAGAATGCTGAATGATGAATTTCTAAGTTGAATATTAGACTAATTCACGTTCTGTGTGATAGGTATTCTGCTTCCCACATTTTCCTGCACCACACACACAAGATATCCATTTATTTTGGTTTTTCGTTGATCCCTCGTTCTATTTCATTATCATTTTAACTTCAAAGGGTGCCATCAGTTATTCTACGGAGATTAATTCCCCGATCCCACCGGCTAAGATGTCTAGGCCGATGTCCTTGACCTGACAACCTATCTTTCTATTCAACACGTTAGGTTGGGGAGAGGCAGTTCAGAAGTGAGGGGTAAAGTTGTGGAAATTTCTACCGGTAACATAATAATGTGTCGAAAAACATCTCTATTAACGATAAAAATCAGATCAACAAATTTCTCTCACTTAATTATGATTTTTGCCCAGAGCAAGAGAAGAAATGTCTATTTGAGAAAGAGATATTTGAATTTGAGACGAGAGTATATAAACATTTCCCTTCAGGTTTTAGAGTAATTTGGTCATTTAGGAGAAATGACAAATGGTGGATTGTTATTGATTATGTTACAGAATCACATTATTTTCATTAACTTGCATTTCATTCATTGACGTTGAGGTCACGCTTTGAACATTTGGCCTCATGAGTACTTCAATAACGATTTTTAACCAGTTTAGACGAAGGAATGGCTCGCCTATACTTGGTGCGAGCTTCTTCCAGTTCGCTTATGCTTCACCAGTGGAGGGCGAGGCTCGCAGGGAAGATTTATTGATTCAACACTCTCCTTCCTATTAGCAAAGGTAATAACATAACAAAATTCACAAAAGTTCCTCTCGAACTAGTCATACAATTTGAGTCATTGATTGATGCAAAAGTCTGAAAATGTAAATTCAAAACATGGATTTATAACATTTCTCATTGTTTTCATTTACAATTGCTCAAAAATTTAAACAAGGTACACCACAGTCATTTGAAAAAGAAGGCTAAGCATTGTACTGTAATCAAAACTGAACAAGGCAAAAAAAAAAAATGGCAGCACCTGCAAGTGTTATGTCCTAGGTCCAATCAACTTTGGACATAAACACTTTGAATATATATATATAATCAATGCATATGTATGGCAATATCTATTATTTAATTGAATTAATATTCTAATAAATTAAATAATAGAATCCGTAGATTCAAGTCTTGGTGATTTGTTAATCACAAGGAGTTGTGATTGTGAGATACAAATTACATATGACTGAATCTTAAATCGTCCGTGGTCGAGGTAATAACGAGATACGGATATCGTTATTACGGATAGACTATCGCGT